TCCAAGGGTTTATTTGTTCCAAAAAATTGTCCAAGGGTTTAATCGTTCCAAACAGTAAAGTCCATTGGGTTTTTTTGAACTTTTCCCTTTTTTATATGTATCGTTTGTTTCACAATGTGAAACAAAACTTTATTTTCACATGTACCGTTTTATACAATTTGAAACAACATATATTTTACTGGTTTTCGTAGTTCTTTAACGTTTTTTAGGTTGTTATTTAGTTATACCCTTATATATCAAGATGGACACATGACAAATATTTTACGTGTAACTAAAAATGTAGCCTTATATTATTCTCTAAAACATTCTTTAAAATATTCTCTCTGGAAGATATTTTGCAGAATTCTAAACATCACATGATGCTCGTTACTTGCATTCTTCTCTCTCGATCGATACGAGTGTCAACTTCAAAAAGACCAATCTACGGGCTCATTGTTGTATTGAAAATATGGATCAAAAGTCGACCATGAGAACTCATCGCTCATTGTCACATCCTGGCAAGAAGATTGATCATGAGACATATAACCCTCGATTAAATCCGAATGTGATAACATATTATCGATTGAAGACGTGATGTCCGGTAAAAACGGCTCGCTCCAAAAATCTCCGGCTGATTCATAATCGGAAGTTTGCAGCGCAACTTCGCTCGAAACTGTGTAGTCCGAGCCACTCATCCAACACGCTGATAGTTCAGTGCCCGAAGAACACGATGGCGATTCCAAAGATCCTGCCAAGAAATTTTCAACTTCCTGGAGTATTTCTGGATTCGGATTTTCATTTTTTTCGACTTGATCAGGCTCGATGGATCCATCATGCTCGTTTTCCAAAACAATCATCTCGTCTTCCTGAGATCGTTTCTTCAAATGTGTGTTCCAACGGTTCTTTATTTCATTGTCACTCCTTCCAGGCAACTTTGCAGCCATTGCGGACCATCTGCGAGTTAAAATAGGATCACAATTCTATTAGCCACTTTCAAAAATAAAGCCTAAACGTCCATAGGTCGTCAGTTCCAGTTTCTCAAGACAATTGAGATTTCCGTGACTGTTATCTTCAAAGTCCAATAAAATTAGTCGAGGTGTATCGTGTGCGTAAATTGATGTGAACATTCACAGTCAGGGGAGGATTCAGAAAGAGCCTAAGAAAATAAATTAGGGGTCTTAAAGGTGCACCCACTTTAGTTTGATTTGTCCTCCCTTAATAAATCATTTTGGCTATTTTTTTAATTTTTTTCTAACAAAATACCACTTATTTCAGCTAATTAAGGCGTTCTTTTCGCAATTAAAATTTTCTTTTATTTTATATTACCTTAATTATTCCCCACCCTGGCTCGGAAATTTTTCTGAATCCACCTCCGTCCACAATTACAAAAAAAGTGATAAATTTGTACGGTATGTATGAAAACTTACTTGTTGCCGAGCTTGTTATGCAAATCAACAATAAGATCGTCTTCTTCTTTCGTAAAATTTCCGTGTTTTATATTCGGACGAAGATAATTCATCCATCTTAACCTACAACTCTTCCCGCTTCTCGAAAGACCTAAAAAAACCAAAAACAACAAAAGAAAACTTAATATCGAAAACTCAAAAAATCGTTCAAGAACTCGAGAAGTTGGTCGATCGATCGTACCAGCGAATTGTGGAAGCAAACCCCAATTCCAATGGCCGTATCTCTGAATATATGCTCGTAACTTATCGTCCTCTTCTTCACTCCATGCACCTTTCTTCACTCCATTCTTATCGAAACTTATGCTTTTCACCATCTTTATTGCCTAGCTTTCAACTATCTCTATGTTTTCTGATTCAAGTCCACTTATATATACATACATATATAATCATATATATATATATATATACACTACAAGATCATATAATCAAAACGTGATAAAATGGGAATTTTTTTATAGAAATTATAAAAAAAAGTTGGATTAAAGTTTGGAGGGTAGAGTAAACTATGATGTGTGTTCCATTGAACAGATTTTGGTATAAAATAATGGACGATGATACATACATGTGGTGTCGGTTTTTCTTTATTTAATACGACTTTAGTTGATTAGAAAACATATTTCGTTTTTATAATTTATTATATTTGATTTTTAACTGATTAAGTTCAGAAGTTCGTATACGATGTTACGTTCGCTTTTTTCACGATGTTTGTGGTGGGATAACTCTTTGCAGATTGTACAAATTTGCAAGAGATCATGGTTATTTAATTCATCATTTCAGTCTAGAGAGGGAACACAGAATTTTAGGACAACATATTTTTATCCAACAAATCTCTGCAAAAGGTATCGTACCGGTTCCATGAACATCATGGCGAAGGTAAGACCTAGTCAAGTGGGTGGTGCGTACGTTTGAATCATAAACCGTCTTCTCATTTTGGATGGATATCCACATTTTCTCCGGTCGCGGGCTTAAGTTGTACGGACTGCCATCACAAAACGTTGCTAGCATTTCATCTATGTGTGCTTGAATTCCATTCTTTTATATATTATTTATAAAAATAATTATATCACTTTTTCATTAGTTGATTATTAAAAACAAGTGTTTTAACATAATTTCAAAATATTGTTAAAAACAAATCCTATGAAATTCGGCGTATACCACGAAATTAAATTCCAAATCCCACGAAAGCGTAAAAATCAAACGGCCCGTAAGAGTTTCTTGGGAAATATCATATATTGGAATGACGTAGATTTTTTTCCCGTTAATTGCAAATGATCAGCTTTGTTGTACTGATGAACTGACATACTTCCTTAGGTATGCAAAGACCACATAACGTTCAATCGTCCATTCGAACATCTTTGCACCGCGTAGAACGTCAAAGAAGTGCTCAATATAATGAACATACGAAGAGCTGACACACGACTTACAAACTCTAAATATTTTATCACCGGTCTCTGCAATAAGGTAGTATTTCAAGATTTAACTATATTTATATTTTGGATCGACAACAAATAAAAATATCGCTACACCTTTACACTTTAAAGTTTGTGTATGGCCCTCACGACCGATGGAGGGCCCCTAATAAGTGACCATATGCAAAGCATATGACAACAGTTCCATCTTTTTACCTATTTCTTTATTAATTATTTAAATATATAAATTTAAAAATATTTATTTAAGAAAAAACTAAAAACTAAAAACTAAACCATCCACCCCTCTCTTTTCTCC